GATAAACAAGATTACTCCAACAATCAAAGTAGAACCTATCACCTAAAAAAAAAACATCTCTGATATCTAACACAACAAAGAAAGGAGTACAGAGTACCAAAACCTTGAACACATACACTCAGTGACATGTTCCTCATCATATTCCAAAACACTACACTAACACACAACGTAGATTTTCTCCTTCCCCAACCAAGTCAAGATTCTTATCGCTATGTTCCCACACAAACTATTCAACAAAAAGGACAACCAACAATATATACCAGCACACAAATTCCGCAAAATGTCCCACCATACACAAAACAGACATTTACCGTCACCCAATTACTACAATATGCTTAGAATGAACGACAAACAAAATACCCTAAAACCATAAAGATCACGTTATACCTATTAAAACCATGAATATTCAAACTATCCAAGATCACTTACCCAAACAGGTACCAGTTGTTGTCCTTTGACTTTGAAATTGATAACGAGGAATATTTTTTAGAGATTAGTACCCATGCCAACACACTTGCACAGACACCTTGTCCCACAAGAGCCAAAAAAAAGAAGCCTAAATTTAGAGGGAGAAGAAGTGGAAGAAGAACACAAGAGAGAAAGGCTAGAAAGATAATAACTACTTCAAATGAAAGAGAGCACAGCATTCTTAACCCATCTCAAAATGTCTTAACCTCTGCACAGATATCTGTTCTTAAAAGAGGTTTAAAATTTGCCCCTATCCACTCTTTTAAACCCATTTTAAGCATTATTAGACGTGAATAAATTTGTGTGAAAGGCCACTCTTAAAAGATTTTTTATTTTTTTATCCACCACCATGCACCTATACTCCAACAAGATCCCCAAATTTTCAATACTAGTCTAAAAGAAAATCTTTCATTTTAAATCTACCCCTTTAAAAATCTTTGAAAACTTGTTTTAAATGGTCTTGATAAAATCAATTAAAAAGTATGATTCGCATAACCTAACTTCACAAGAAAAGACGGTCCTTAAACAATTACAAGGTGACAAGGATATAGTCATAAAACCAGCTGATATAGGTGGAGGCTTGGTCATACTTTCTAAAACTATGTGTATAGATGAAGCCTTCAAGCAGCTAAATTACATAGATGTTTATGAAAAATTAACCACGGATCCTACCCCAACTATACAAAACACCTTGTCCTATTTTGTTTTTAAAAAAACATTCTTAATAAACATGTATTTCATTTTTTAAATGGAAAATACCCCAAAATTCCAGTTATTTTTTTTACCCAAAAATGAAGAAATACCCCCAGACAGACCTATAGTGTCAGGGATTAACTCACTTCTATGCAATCTGTCTGAGTACATAGACACCCTGATACAATCCTTGATTAAACTTATGAAGTCCTACTTAAGAGATTCTATCTCGCTTTTCAGACTCTTAGAAGACTTTGTATGTCAACCCAATTTATTTATTTACAAAATATTTTACCAGGAAAGATTACACTGAGATTTCTCTCATTTTCAAGTATGTCTTGGGCACATAGTGAATACATTTGTGTTAAAGGTCACTCTTAAAAGATTTTTTTATTTTTTATCCACCACCATGCACCTATATTCACATTTCATCTTAGTTACATGTAATGTACAATCCTTGTACGCCATCATCCCTCACAATATAGGCTGTGTAGCAGTTAAGGACATTTAAAAAAATGAAAAAAGAATTTCAGATACCCAAATTGATTTTATTATTGAAGGTATAATTTATATAATATATAATATTATTGAAGATATAATTTAAGAAAATAATTATTTTTGTTTTTTAGATTGTTTTTACCTACAAAAGAGAGGTACTGCCATAAGGACTAGGTTCACCCCTAGCTATGCCAACCTCTTAATGGCAGACTGGAAGTCTACAGCCATTTGAGGCGGACATGTCTGGCGGGCGAAACTGGTAACCTATTTTAGATACACTGATGACTTGTTTTTTATATGGGAAGGCTCATCAGAATCTCTTAACCAAGTCATTGACCATCTTACCACCAATGACAGAGGAATTATTTTAACTAAAGAATACAGTACCGAATCTTTACATTTTTTAGATATACAAATTTTTATTCATGATGGTAAAATAAACACAAAAACTTATTTTTAAAAAGTCTGTAACAATAAGGTTATTGAACAATCCAGTTGTCATTACAAACCATGGCTGGAGAGTGCCCCAAAGTCAGTTCCTACGACTCCGAAGAATTTGTTTTCAAATTCAAGATTTTAACGATCAGACAGAAATCTTAAAGAATAAGTTCACAGATAAGAACTACTCCCCCAAAAAACGAAACAAAAACATTGAGACCATTATGAAAAAAGAAAGAATGGATCTTCTAGCTTTGAAAGAGAAAAGGATCAAAAATACCCCTTCTATTCCAATTATTTTTTATTTTATTGATAAGAATAATTAAATGGGGGGACTGAGCAGCATGGCGGCTGGACGCGGCTTGCATGAGCTCGGGGACAAAGCTGATTAATAGGCTAACTT